CTTGCTTATTTTGTTCATATAGTTAATAATCAAATTGTTTATGGTAAATGTAGGGTTTGAAGGCTCTCATAACAGCAAATAAAATTATGACAGTTTTACTTAAGTTAATTTTTAAGTTTAAAATATCAGTAACTGTTGTATTAGGTAACAAAGATATTAATGTATGGCTGAATATTTGGATCATGGTTGTTAACTTTAACATTTGCACATGTAAAATAAAAATTATTTCATAAAATAAATTCTTTAATTAACACTGTTCCAACACACATAGGATGCATAGTAAAGTCCTTATGTGTTGACTTGTAAGCAATGCACAATATATACAACACATGGTAAAGAATGCAGCACAAAGACATAGGAGAATAAGAAATATATATATATATATTTTACCTTCTGTGCTCGACATGCATATTAGTATTTCGTGCTTTCTACTCTCACCATTCATGTACTGTACATGGAATGTCCTTTCATACTAAACAGTCATACTCTATGACTTCATAACTGACTTCTGTATCATACATCATTTTTAAGATGGAGCACTATTCTTCTACATTCTACCTCTAGGGATGCCACAAATACATGGTGTAATTAAAGTTGCTCTACTCAGATCTGTATAGAGCCCATTCTTGTTGACGTATTTTGATGAAACTTAGTATATACATTATGTGGACCACGAGGACAAGGAAAATGCAAAAAAATATTTAGTTAAATTTCTACCACTAGGTGAAAAAATGGCACATGCAACAGATGCTATGCAAATTAGGAACCTTTTAAAAAGCTAATAGTCAATGTTGTTCTTTATCATGCCTTTACAGAAGAAACATTGAGCTTTTCTGATAAAGTTGTTTTATCAGAATGGCAATAATGGTTTGGCTGCACTGCAAAAATATCTACATTTGAAAGTCTTGCAAATAGGGTCTATGTTGAGGTATGGTTTGAGAAAGATGATTACCAAATTTGAAGAGACTGGAGAGTTGGGTGTATTGCCAGGAAGAGGTCGGAAAAAAATTTCAAATGAAACTGTGAAGCAAGTCACCATTGCTGTGATTGACAGAGCAAATGCTTCCCAACATTCTTAGGCAAGTGCTTGAACAGTATCATGTGATTTGTCTTTTCCTTGGTGTATAGTTCAAAAAATTCTGCGATCCATTTTTCAGTGGTATCCGTACAAGATCCATGTGTTGCAAAAGCTGCACCCTCAAGATCCAAAACACACAGTTTGCTTGCTGGTTTTTGGTCAGAATAGCCGTTGACAATGCATGGCCATGGGACATTTTGTAGTCAGATGAGGCAAATTTCATGGGGTACTGTAAGACCTGATGTTGTGAATGAACAACCTCTGCACTCTGATTATGTAACTGTTTGGTGTTGTTTCACTTCTGATTTCATTCTTGGCCCCTTTTTCTTTGAGATCACACCTCAAGGCCCTAAAAGGTGTTTCTTGACAGGTGCCTGTTACTGCAAACTTCTACTGCATCACATCATTCCTACTTTACAAAAACGTGTTTAGAGACTACTGTCTTCGTGCAAGATGGGGCAACACCGCATATTGCTTGACAATTGAAGGAACTGCTTCATGACAAATTTGGAGATGATTGGGTAATTTTGAGAAGACTTCCAAATGCCTGGCCTCCTTGTTCTCCAGACTTGAATCCCTGTGACTTTTGATTGTGAGGATATCTGAATGATCATATCTACAGATGAGACATACGGACTCTGCCTGAATTGAAAGCAAGCATAACATGCCATGTTGGTGCAATTCCTCAAGAAACATATCCAGCTACTTTTGATCACACTGTAAGGCACTTTGAACATGTGATTGACACAAAGGGATTGCACATTGAACAATTGTGAATAAAAATCTTTTGCACATTTCCATTTTGTTTCTTGTTCTTCATGTGCAATTTTTTTATCTAATGGTAGAAATTTGAATTAAATATTTTGTATTTTCTTTTTCTCCATGGTCCATATAACGTATATACCAAGTTTCATCAAAATACATCAAGAACGAGATCTATACAGGTCTGAGTTAGGCAACTTTAATTATGACCACCCTGTAGTTTTATCTGATAAACTTAGTCACTTTAACTATATGCCATATTCATAATTCCAGCTTTCTACATCTCAATTACAGGTATAAAGGGCTTTACTATGCATACTGTATATTTTAACAATGTACAGTGGTGCCTTGCTTCATGACAGCCTTAGATAACAATGCACTTGGTTAACAAGTTGCTATAAGAAAAAAATGTTTTGGGTGATGACACAGGCTTTATTTAACGACACTTGATTATGTGCTTAATATGGTTAGTGTGTTTCCATTCATCAGTTGACAGATAATTTTTTGTCCTGTATGACAGCAAACCTCTATCTCATCTTGCACTCAGCCACACATGGGAGGACACTGATGAATAAAGAACAGCCACGTGGCATAGCAGTGAATCTCAGATATGTTTGACCCATCAGAACAAGATGTTTACATTTTTCTATGATTATATCTTTCCTTGCAGTGTACTGTGCTTTATTTTATGTAGTTATAAATGCAGTATATGATGAAAATGAATATTTAAGCATTTATTTTTTGTGTTTATTCATATAGACAATAAATCACATATAATCCTAATTCAAAATAATGTGACGCACGTCACTGTTCCTCTGCCATCAACCAGCAAAATTAAATCTCATCTGTGTAATAATCATTGTATCTATAAGCTGCTAATCAATGTGTGTACTGGTAAGTGGTGTATGTAATATGTTCTTTGTATTTCTTGTCTCAGTGTTGTACATATTTGTAATATTTTGCATTTTGGCTAAGAAAGAGCTTACGATAGCTGAGGTTGCTAAGGGAACTTCAAGGTTGAATGTCAGAGAGTTGCTTCTTGAGGAAATGGAAAATCTATTACTAATTTGGATCAAAGAAAGAGAAATGGCAGGCTATACTACATCTCAAAATGCTATGTCAGAAAGCTAGACAGATTTATCAAGATTTGAAACTGAAGACTCTAGGACCAAGTTCTAAAAATGATAATGATTTCAAAGGTTGCAGAGGTTGGTTTGACAGCTTTAAAAAGAGAACAGAAATTCATAGTGTGATCAGACATGGAGAAGAAGCTATGCTGACAAAGCAGCAGCAGAAAAAACTAAATTCGTCAATGACTTTACAAGAATTGTAGGAAAAGAATACCTACCTTGAGAAAACCCAGTTTCATCGCAAATGAAACTGGGTTATTTGAAAGAAAATGCCCAACAGGACATTTGTCACAAGAAAAAACTCTTCCTGGGTATAAACCAACGAACAATGTACATTAACATTGCTTTTAGCAGCAAATGCAAGTGGAGACTGCAAAGTAAAACCAATGTTGGTTGGTCTACCACTAGAAGAATCCCCAATCATTCAAAAAGTTCAATGTCTCTAACTCCAATCTTGGTATTTTGTGCACGTACAATAGCAAACCCTGAATCACAACAATACAAGTTAGAGACTGGATTCACTAAACATTTGGACCATCTGTTAACCTATCTTGAGCAAAACAATCCGCCTCTTAAAAGTCATTTTAATCATGGAACCACCTGGCCAAACCAACGGAAAAACAGTAAGAGCTACCAGAGCAATTAGAGTTTATCAAGGTAATGTTTCTTCCTCCCAATATTACATCTCTGATCCAGCTTATGGATCTGCTAATTGCAAATTTCAAAAAACTTTACACAAGGGCACTTTTTACCAGGTGCTTTGAAATGTGTGAGGCTACCAACATGGACCTAAGAATTCTGGAAGAATTCAACATTGTCATTGCAATTAGGCTAGTTGTAAAGGCTTGGTAAGTAGTAACAATTAAATGTCTCAAAGCAGCATGGAGGAAACTGTGTCCTTCCTTTGGTAATGAAGAAACTTCATCTGAAGGATAGAAATTGACAAAGGATATTGTGACAACTTCTCATGATCTCAACTTGGAAGTAGAGGATGATGATACAGAATTACTGGAGGAGAATGACTGAGAACTGACTACTGATAAGCTAAAAACTTTTTAAGCAGCAATGTGAAGAAAAAAATTAAATTTCATCTGAAGATGAGGACATAGAGAAAGAACAAATTACAACTGCTGAAGTCAAAAATGTTTTGGCAAAGTGGAAGTTCATAATGTTGCTATGAAATGGAATCTAAACAAATCTGAGGTTATCAGATCTATTTAATGAAAAGTCCATAGTTTTTCAGAAAAATTTTAAAAAAGAAGCAGAATCAAACAACCTTACACATGTTTTTCACATGTCCATCTGTCAAAAAACTCCTGGGTGAGTCAAATTGTCCTTCTGGTGAAGATTGATAGAAACCTTTTCATGACCTATTTATTTTATCGATGTTGCTTTTTTGTAACAAATATAAATGAATAAATATTTAAAATGTCATAAAAATATGGTACTGTACATGAGTTTTTCTGCATATTTGCTATGTACTATGTTGTAGGGAAAAGCCAGAACAAATTACAGTAATCAATTTCCTATTATTATATATCTTATGGAAAATTGTACCTTGTATCCTGAAATGGATTACCATCATTAACCAACCAAGGCACCACTTTATTATTTTTTTCATACATTTTTGATCTGTTCTTAGTTACTGAATCTCTATCATTCAAATAATGGTATTCAATCCAAGTCTTTTAAGTTCTCTAAACTGAAGTATCTAATCAAGTGATTTCTTTTTTAACTATTCTTTGTTAAATACTTTCTTCACAATAAGTAATATTGCATCAAGTTAATCAGTGTTGTTGTAATGTATAAATGCTATATCAGTGTTTCTCAACGGGGCGATATCGCCCCCATGTGGGCATTTTTCCATGTTGAGGGGCGATTAGTAACAATTTATATTTTGGGGGCGAAAAACAATTTTCTGGGCGATATAGTAAAACGTTATATTAAGAATAATTAGATATTTTATTCGTTATATCGTACAATAATTAAACAATTAACATTATACTAGTCAATAGTCTATTCGATGCAGTACGAATTTGGCGTTAGCCTTGGCCCTCGGCATCGGAATTTTGAAGTGAAGGGGGCGATACTATGTTGAAGGGGGCAACAATTCGTTAGAGGTTGAGAAACACTGTGCTATATCAATCCCTCTTCCCATTTCTTACATTGTTTATACTCAAACCTAATTTTTGTTTATGTTTGATGCCATAAATAAGTAGTTTAATAGTAACAACCAAATGACAAAAGCAATGGCCTACCACTCTGGGGATCTGGATTGAATCCAGGCAAGCCACCTCAATTTTTTCCAAAGCAGCAACTTCCAGAATTTAAATTGACTGAAGTCATTTGGTTACTAGTGTAATTTAGACTTAGATTTTTTACATTTCAATCTCTCTCCAATTGATAATGTAATATTAAAATTCTAAACTGTAAAAGAAAATAATATTTTAACATGATTTTATAACATTTTTAATTTTTATTTCAATATGTTTAAAATGTATATACAAATAAAACTGATAAAAAATATTATATACTTGTTTGTTGCTACTCTTGCTAATGCTTAACAGTTCTCGTCTGTGCATAAAGACAGATATTAAAAATTGTGCATTCTGTACTTAGCTTTCACGCTTAATTTTCAAGAGAGTAAGCATCTGGTTCCCAGTAGAAGACATTTCCTCAATTCAAAAAAACTCAGCATATCCATTATTATTCCCAAATATAAATGGTAAAGTATTGACACTAAGAACACAGAAAACACAGAAACTGTTTGTGTTCATAATCAGATAATTTCCGAATGGAGCCATCTTTTTTATTTAAACAAGAAATATGTAACCACCTGTTGCATTTTTCACACTGAATCCAAGACGCCATTTCACGTTCATAATAATGCAAAGAACCACACATCAAACAGTTGCTTTGCATGTCATCAGAAGTGTGAAGAATATACTCTAACAATATAAATCTGTATATATCTGGATCAAAAAGATCTTCAGAAGACATAACGCATCCTAACGATACTGCTTGTTCTACATAATGTACAAGATAAATCCCAGAGTTGTAGTCATCTTCTTGGCAGTCGCGTTCATAACTTCCTAGTCTCCAAGTATTTGATGGTCCTATTGGAGCAGCACCGAAGTCTGTTTCTAGAAAAAGTTTAAAATACTCATCATTTCCTGAAGGAGACATGGAATCGCAGCAATAGAAAATTCTATCTTGTAGATCTAGAATCAAAAGAATCCAACGGCATCTCTGTTCATTTATAGGTATGAACAGCATCTTTGTTTCACCATATATTTTTAACATAGACACATATTGAAGATCTCGATCACTAAAAATAGCCGTACCAATTTCACAAGGTATCATTTGAAATTCTTCTTTTCCAGAAATTAGTATGGCCAGAATGTATTCAATGACAAAATTTGTTAAATGTTGTTTTCCATATAAACTATAATAATTATCTAGAAAGAGGGTGAGATTACCTCTTCTGGCAACAACATAATTACATTGTTCAAAGATAGACTGGCATTTTAAGATGGGTCCAATATAGAAATGTATGTCACATTTTAAGCCATTTTTCATGTAATTTACAATCTCACTTTCTGATTTAATAATTGTTCTTCCAGTTATATGATACAATGCTTGCGTTTCAATTATTGATGCAATTTTCTTTCTATAGAAATTAACTGGTGGCACAGATTTATGTTTATAACAATGCTTTTTGGCAGTTATTGAACTCTGGCCATCTATTTTACTGTTTATTTCTTCTTTAAAAATCCGTTTGTGAGAATTGTGCTTGGTTAATGAAGTTTTTAAATCAGGAATAGTAGTATCATCAATACCAATATTATCATTCTCAAGTTCTAAATTGACTAAGGTTACATTTTCTTTGGAATCCAGTAATTCTGTTCCCTCATGTAGTGTTAACTTTGGAATATAGCAGAAATGTTTTTCTGCTTCATTTATATATGCCCGTGTCTCATTTAAAAATGTCGAACACTTATATGGAGGATTACCAATTTCATAAGATTTTCTCAAACACCTTTCTTTAATTTGTCCAAAGTAATTTTCAACATCTCCATTTGAGAATTTCATAGGTGTTTGTAATAAAATTGGTGTCCACAAAGGTAAAATTGATATGTATTTCTGCAATAATATATTGAATAAGTGATGATTACAAAACGGATTTATTTTCTCTGCAGACAAATTGTCATTTACATCCAAGATGGAGTCATATTCATTGTTAATGTGTGAGAAATGCTGGAAGAAAGAACTGTTAGAGTAATCAAGTTTTTCTTCTTGTGATATCACATCACCACTGACATAGAAGTACTCAACATCTTCAAATTCGTGCTCTACAGAATTTAAAATAGTCTCTTCTAATTCTCTCTTGCACAACTCAACATATCTCGTGTAGAATTTTGCTGTTAACAATGTAGAAAGTCTTCGCAAAACATATTCTATCTTTTCAATGTTACTTATATTATAAAGTGACATTAAAACAGTCATAATGAATTTTCTATTGGTTCTTTCAAGTCGTTCATAAGAGTTTTCTACATCACTGATCATACTTTTCATTAGATGATCACAACATAAATGCATATTAATGAGATTGAAATTAGTTTTAAACACAACAGAATGATAAGCAAGATTAAGATAATCAATTAACTTGCACTCATTTAAACCTTCAGAAATTGCATTTAAGATATCATAATTAAAATTGGAAACTATATGTCGAAAGCATGGCCAAGAATTGTGACACTTCATGAAATTAAACTTAAAATGATTCAGCCAAGTTTTTATGGAGAATGCATTATGAGACGAATTTATCATTTCACAGATTGGTAATTCAGTATATTCCTCCGACAGGAGAAAAGAATTGAGAGAGACAAGACAGACATAATACAAAATGTGCTCATCTAAGCTTGGAGATTGCTGAATCAAAGAGCTTGTAGCATCTACATGAACTGTCAACTCTTGGAAACGAGAACAATGTCTAATGATATCTAACTGGGATTGACTAAACATGTATATGCCAAAAGGATTATTAATAATGTAGCGTACATACTGATTCTTCTTATCTTTCTTCTCTTGGTGTATCATAAGCGAATTTAGTTTTTCAATATCATCTTTATGAAAGTCTTGTAACGATGATGCTTTTAAAGACCTTTTCCTTAAAGTATAATAATTATCATTTCTTTTAAGATTATTAGACAAAGTGCATTTCTTGGAGTCTTCGTGATGATTGTCATCAAGACTTTTTTTTAATGGAAAACTTTTTCTAATTAACTTAGTAGATTTCAGTTTGGAAGGATGTTTGATATTGTTGCTATCATAAAAAACTGAAAATTGAAATGGTGTTTCATTGCCATAATAGTGAACTAGTTTATATTTTCTACACTTTGGAAACACACATTGAAATCTTAGAGTACATATGTTTGCAGCTGCATAAAAACCCTTTGACATCAAAACACAGGAAAAATGTTCTTCCATTTTTTTAGTAATAATTGCTACATAAGATTTCTTTTGTGGTACATTGTTTTCAAATATAATTTTCCATTCACTTTCTGTAAATGTAAGATCTATTCCTGTCATTATCCAATTAACTTTTTGGAAAGTACTTTTACGTACTTTGTCACGTGTATAAATTTCTGCAGACGATGTGGATTGTTCCTCCTCATCTAACTTATTGTTATTGTCTACAAAATTTTCTTCTTCCGCCATATGTATTTCTTGATTAGGAATTGAATACATTGAAAGTTTTTCTTGACACCTTTATCAATCAGAGCTTCCTTAATAATTCTGTGACAGATTTTCAGCCCTACAAACATCTGTAGATGGTACAAATTACTCCTTTTCCTCTAGATTATTGCAGTCTGCTAATAGTAACAATTTGGAATTTTCTCTCTCTGTCAATCTTATTTCTTGCTCACAAAATGCATTTCCATTTTGTGAATGTCTTACCAACTGATTTTCTCACCAATAAAGAATCTACGAGTTTCTAAACATTCAGGTTTCGTAAAGAATAAAACGTCAATATGTGCTTTATTTTTAATATTCAGTTTTAAAGCAGATTTTCTTATTTAACCCACCACTGATTGATGCTCTTTTCTAACTTAAAGCCGTCGATATCAGTCATGTGATGTAACGTAACTTCTATAAGTCCAACGACGTCCAACTTCGTAATGTTAGAATATGTTCCTTCCTATACTACAAATTAATAAACAAATTATATAGGTGTGTAAAATTCATTAAACATGCATAAAAAAATTAAGAATTTCTTACTATTTTCTTCAGTTAAGTGAAATCACGAAACTTGAAATTAATACTTCAAGACGTAATTACTTTTTCTACGTAACAAGAAAAAAAAAATTCATTAAGAATGTATCATTAATTTTCCTTTTTTTGATTATTTAATGTGTCAAATATGTGTCAAATAAACTGTGTTGCCTTCTCACAAATTGTTTCAGATATATACAGATATACTTCAAACGACATTTTTTTGTGTAATTTTTACTTTACAGCTCTATTTGTAGATAAAATTTGATATAAAATAATAACAAGTGATATTTGAGTGTTTGAGGTAAGAAGGTCTTTTTATAAAAGAAGCCAAACTCAATGCAACCATTTAATTTTGTGTGCACTCCAACACCCGAGATGTGTCAGAGTTAAAAGTTCTTTTACAGACTTGTGAAAAGACTTTATTAAAACTTCTGCACTAATATAGTAATTCATATATTCATCATATGCTGACATATATGTATACTAATTGTATTGATGTAAACATAATAATGGACTGTCCTTATTCCAACTTAAAAAAAGCCTTTATTCCATTTAACAATGAACTGCAGGTTATGGATTGTCAGGTCAAACATGCAATTCAATCTAATCGATTTAAGCCAGAATTAGAACAATTCATTATTATGTTTGAATCAGTAGAAGCAGTGTAGTAATTCACATCATATACTCATTGAGAAATTTACCAGTAAATAAAAGGAAGCATATGTGTTTGGTTTCAAGAGTAAACTTGCACTAGTTTTATTTATTTGCAAATTGTCTTTATAAAGAATTTATATCTTAAGTGAATTTTGTGAATTTATGTAGTAAAAATGAAAAACAATTTACTGTATTTATTCTAATAAACAACACACTTCTTGTAGCTTCTTTCAGCTTGCAATTACACTGTTTATTAGTGTGTGCTTATTATTAGTTGGAAACTATTAATAGAATAAATGTGGTAATCTTTTTCATTTTACTATTATTCAAACAAAACAACATACACACACATTTTATTTCAAGATAAGAGTAACATTAACAAATACTATGCAATTTTTTAGTTTAAAATAAACATCTTCCACCTATAAATAAAATATTCAAGTAACAGCAATGCATTTATTAACACTTTATGCACAAAATAGGCCTTATATGTTCAAAAAAAAAAAAAATCAGCCAATGGAGAAGTTGTTTGACTGGTTTTGCTATACAAGTTTCCCTTGTAGTCTGCAAGCTAAAAACAGTTTAGTCTGCAGCTACACAAAAAGTTTTCAGAACTTACAAAGAAATCTTTGAAGATTAAACAAAAACTAAAACTGCTTTACTTGGTGTTCTATTATCCTCTGGGTCAAAAGACAGATAAAATATATTTAACCTGATAATACAGAATCAATTGTATTAAAGTGCTAAGAGCAAACAGAAGTACTTTTGGTGCTTTCCAAATTTTTAAAACATGCAACCCAGTATTTCTGTAATTTCAGAAACTTCCAGATTATATAATGATAAACTCTTTCGTTGCTCTTCAAGGTATTAGAATCATTTACTTGAAACTAGTCCCCCAATACTTAGTCTACTTGTATTCTGGGCAACTCAGAAAACCTGGTACAAATGCAGCTCCGAACAGGGCAATCGTGACCTATCATAGCTGTAACTACGCCACCAGGAGTGAAAAACTCAAAGAAACCATACATTCTTGGCAAGATATAGTTCAAAGTTATCCTTGCTAAACACTTAAAAGTTGTGCTCCATTAAGCCTACCACACAATAGGCTTAATGGAGCACACGGCACGATTCCACCCCCAAGTAGTCAGCACAATGATTTTTCTCACGTTTTACGACCTCTTAGCCATCTCCACAATCCACACAGTGAAAAAGTAGACACAAGTCAGTCCAAATAGGAAAGGTCTAAGTCAGACGAAACAGATGGAGGCGACACGGGAGACGACACATGGATCTGTGATAAAATTTGTAAAAAACAGCAAAAAAATAAAATTATCTGCGATAAATATAGTATAAAACGTTTTAAAAATGTAAAAAAACAAAACAGCCGAAAGAGATCGGATTCATACATCAACTTTCACGTTTGATCCGACGGACCCAGCTCGAGCCGACTCATCTACTCTCACTGCACAGATTAAAGTAGAAAACGGTCGATTTTAGCGTCATTCAAAAAAATAGTTCAGATTTTTCTCACTTTTTATCCAACTTTTGAGGGTCTTCAAGATTCCACACAGGCCAATTTAGGAGGGACAATATCTCACCAAGCATCACACTAGACCGCCGGTTCCTTTGACTCTTTTACTCCTACGGAAGAAGTCTACGGCTCCGTACAGTTCCCAACCGCCTCATACGGAGCTGCATTTGTATCAAAAACCTTTATGTACCTACATTTGAAAACAGCTTCAATAATCTCCATGTTCACAAATTAATAAATAAAGTGAATAAACAATTAACTCTACTTGTCTGGTTACTTGTCTGTTCATTTTATTTGTATTTTTAATATTCTTATTTTCTGTGCGTGTTCTGGAAGCCTTGAAGACAATGAAAGTTGTTTCAAGGTCATTTGCAAGTGAAATCTTGTTCTAAAACTGCGCAATTTCTTGCCATACAAACAAAACTATTGAATTGTGGGAAAAATATTGGAAGAAATAAGAAATAAATTTAATAATACCAAAATTCGTTAAATTCACCTGAGTTTCAGCTTTGCATATCTGAGAGAGTTCCAATCCAGAAGCATCGTTCATGCCAGCCAAAGACCACTTTGCCAGCTCTTCAATGTTCGAAGCATTAGGATCTTTTACCTTGGACCATCCTCCTACCATACGCGAATGAACGTAACAAGGAAGCAATAGAAACAGTAATATCAAATAGGAATTCATTGTTTTAAATCAAGACAACGGAATTCTCCCAAACGATTTGCTAACGTCCTATTTCTGATCATCGCCACTAGGGGCGCCTCTCAAAATGGAAAACAAATGAAAAAAATTTACAGTCGATCCCCTATAACACTGTTGATTATTCCGTTTTATATGAATTCCATGTTGTACGAGTCACTTAGATTTTACAAATACGTG